GGTTTACGATCAACGTGCTTAAAGGAATACCCAATAAGATCCTTCGTGATGATCATGCATCTTTTATTCCTTTATTGTTTTTTTTTTTTTTTTTTTATATTTTTAGTACACGTGGTATACATTTTTTGGGGGAGGGGGGAGGAACCCATAAACAAATAAAAACAAACAAACATAAAATATCAAATAACATGATCAAATTAAACACAACTTAACTGTATGCAATTAAATATGAACAATACTCGGATTAATACTTCAATACTCGTTCTAATCATCATAATCATAATCATAATCATCATCATCATCATCAGTGGTGTTGAGTAGAGTAGTCGATAGGTCAGTGTCGTATTTAAATGACCGCACCGATAAAAACTTTCCGGGATGCGTCATCAACGTTCACCAACGAGTCCCTCACGAATAAATCCTCAAGAGACACATACACACATACACACACACACATACATACACACATACAAGTGTTCTTTTCTTGTCTTTTATTTTTAAAAAACAGTCGTTGTGGTACTCGTACGATTAGATGGAAAGTGTTAAGATAAAAATTCAACAAGAAAGAATGAAAGAAAATAATCAATCGGATTTTTTTTTCACATACATACACATACACATACACACACACACGTACACACACACGCACACAATTTGCTATCGTTTCTTACGCAACTAAACAGCACACCTAGCTCATATGTTGTATGGTGGTAGTGTAGTAGTAGTTGTCAGTTAGCCGATGGCATGATTTCAAGAGATGACATCATCGAAAAATAAGAGATGCATGGAGTATCTGAAGTAGAGAGGGGAAGGAAGTGGTGGGGAGGAGGAGGTGGAGGAGAAGGAGGAGGAGGAGGAGGAGGAGGAGACATTTTCGTTGCAATTCGTGAGCCGCCAAAAATAAAACACCGGTTTTTTTCGTGATAGTAGAATCGAATATTGAACATACACATACATACACATACATGCATATACATACTTTATATATGAATGTATGTGTGAAGTTGGTTGAGTCCGAAGAAGAAGTTTCAGGGCCGGTCGTTCCACTTCAGAATACGAATACGGAGAACCGATAACTGCAGTGAAGGGTGGTGGAGGAGGAGGAGGAGGAGGAGGTTGGGAAGGTAGGTAGGTAGGTAGGTTGATAGGTAGGTAGGTGCAATGAGGAGGACGGAGGGGGAGACAGGTAAAGAGAAAAGTGTTGGAGGACTATTCGATGCTTCTCACACAACACCACTGTCGTCATACTGTCCAAATACAGTCAATCGATCATTCAAATGTCCCGTTTTTTCTATACTTCGTAATTGCATTGAAGTTTGCATTGAAGTTTGCATCGATTGAATTGCAATTATTGTATGTAATTATTAATTAATAGATGGTGTTTCAAAATTCATTTAATAAAATTTAGATAATAGGTTTTAAATAGAATTGAAATTAAAAAAGATTTATATTGCAATCTTATTTAAATAAAATTATAATTTAATAGAATTTAGATAATGGATTTAAATAAAATTGCAATTTAATAGAATTTAAATGGTAGATATAAATAAAAGTGCAATTTAATCAAATTTAAATAGTAGATTTAAATAAAATTACAATTTAATAGAATTTAAATAGTAGATTTAAATAAAATTGCAATTTAATAAAATTTAATATAACATTTAAATAAATCCTTTTTTTTTTTGGTATTTTAATATTAAATTTTATTATTAGTATTTTTATATTTTCAATTATTATAAATATTTGCAATGTTGTTTTATTTTTAAAACACTGTGTATTGTTATATATATATATATAATTATTTAATATATATTTTAATTATTTTTAATTAAAATTTTTTTGACTGACATGAGTTCAATGAAAAAGATTCACGTGAGAGGGTGAAAGGGTGAGGGTTAAGGGTGCTATTTTAAAAATAAAATACTTGCGTTACATCTTAAGACGAATAATGTTGAGAATTGTAGAAGAATTTTGTGAAATTTGTGTTAAAAGGGAAAATAAAGAAGGGTGATACGATGAGATGGTTCAAAAACTGTAAAAAAAAATCTATAGATATATATATATATTGAATTCATGGGGTACAAGGTCGATGCATGATTTCACCAAGGCAAAGAGCAAGCAAAGAAGCGACTTTGCAAGCAAATTGGCTAAAATTCTTCGGGAAAAGTCAAGAAACCGAGACGTCCTTGACATTCGAGAGAGTTTCAACCTTTATAATTTTATACGTTGGTAGGTATGCCATATATATTGGCATAGTGATCTTTTCTCATTCCAATCGGGGTATTTTTGGTTTTGTTTCTTTTCCTTTCTTTTTAAATGAAACAACTTTTGGGAAGGAACAACGACAAGATTTTCAAACTTAACTGAAAGTGAAAGGTTTTTCTATGTTTCATTTTATTCTAGGGATAACTTTGATCATTAAATTTGTATATTATGATTAGAAGTTGATGAATCAATTGATAAAAACAAATTGCAATATGAATTTGTAAGTGTGTCAAATGAATGATTAATTGGAAATGATACAAAAAGGTTTGGGGAGTTAGAACTTTGATCATAGAATTTGTGTATTACAAATAGAGTTTGACAAAGCAACTAACAAAAATTAATTTATATCAATTGCAAATTTATCAAATGAATGCTACATTGAAAATGATACAAAAGATTTGGAAAGATAGAACTTTGATCATTGCATTTGTGTATTACAAATACAACTTGACCAACCAACYAATAAAAAATAATTCATATCAATTGCAAACGTGTCAAATGAATAAATAGGTTTAAAAGGAAATTAAACAGGTTCAATTAGAAATAAATTAAAAATAATAAATTAATTTAGAAAGAATCTAAATTTATTATTATACCAAATACCAAAAATATGCTAAAGTTTCTCAAAGTAATACACGTAGGGATACAATATATATATGTTATACATGTATATATATATAATACGGCGCTTCGTGTTTTTCTTAATGGAAAGAAGAAGAAGGAGAAGAAGAAGAAGAAGAAGAAGAAGAAGAGGCCGTCTACACGTCCTTGCTGAGCTAACTGTAATTCCCTGCGGATGCAGAGCAGAAACCCATCGTTGACGACAGCTGCCTGTTGGCTGCTGCTGCTGACTGCTGACTGCTGCTACTTGGGAACTT